AATAAATCAATAAATTATCAGACTGCATCATGTCGCAACTCGTTTTTAACCAAGGTAACAACCTCAGTGTGCTGGGTTTCAGCACAAGTATGATGGAAGTTTCCTTACAGGAGATCCTCATGTGTTATAAATCTGTTTCAACAAAGTGCTGTTATTCACTTATTTATTAAAACAGATGAGAAATCATTCTTGAAAGTAGCAAAATAGGGCTGATGAATAAGCTGAACCTACAGGAACTCCATTTCAAAGAGTAATAGATGATGTGTATTTTCTGATGAGCAGACATTTCAGGGAACTTGAAGAAAAGCAATGTCCCATTTCTGAGGTGGGAAAAGCACAGAGACTTATGTTGACAATGTCATTCATCTCAGAGAAAGCCCTAACCAGCTAAAAAGCAACAAGAGACACATGCTTGGATACGGGCAGGTGCCCTGACAATGGCAGCACTAATGCCTTTATGCTGCTGTGAACTTCACTCTCTGAGGGCTGAAATGCAGATGCAGAGTCCATCTTCTCATCTACTCCCATTGTATACCTCTCTGCCAGTGCTGGGCTTCATGCTAATGCGTGTGCCATTGTGCTTAGCAAACGATGGAAAATAAGACTCAGAAAGACTTTGGTAACAAAATTCTAATGGGAGTGGTCTTCACTATCCCCATGTGTCCCCCAGAGCGAGGTACAAGTTTATACTTAACAATTTATTGCTCATATTTGCTTCTGTTTGGGAAAAATGACCATACCTAACATTTACACTATTAGTTTGACTGCATCCCATTAATTACTTCACAGTGAAGCACATCCTAACTGATCAGAACTGAAATCGTATTTCCCTACATCTCTCCTTTCGTTAACCATTGTACAAGACACAGAAGATATCCCCACTTCGACACGTTGGTTAACACTGTGATATAATGACCAAATATCATTTGAACATGTTGCACTCAGTATACTACATACTTTCATATATATAGAATGCAAGAACTGGTGAACGGTGTGAACAGAGTTAAATCCAGCTGGTGTCCAATTACAGGTGGTGTTCCTCAGGGGTTGGTACCTGGGCTAGTCGTGTTTAACATCTTTACAAGCAATCTGGATGAGGGAATTGAGTGCACCCTCAGTAAGTTTGTAGGTGGCACCAAGCTGGAAGAGTCAATCCACATGGGAGGAGGAAGGCTCTACAGAAAGATCTGGACGGGCTGGACAGCTGAGCTGAGGCCAATGGGATGAAGTTCAACATGACCAAGTGCTGGGTCTTGCACTTCAGCCACAACCACCTCAGGCAATGCTACAGGCTTGGGGCAGAGTGACTGGAAGTGTGCGAGGAGGAAAAGGATTTGGGGGTGCTTGTTGACAGCTAGCTGAACGTGTGTCACCAGTGTACTGAGGTGGTCAAGAAGGCCAATGGCGTTCTGGCTTCCATCAGAAATAATGCAGCCAGCAGGAGCAAGGAGGTGATCGCCTCCCTGTACTCAGCTCTGGTGAGGCCATACCTCAAGTACTGTGTTCAGTTTTGGGCTCTTCACTACAAAAAAGACATCAAAGCCCAGGAGCACATCCAGAGAAGGGCAATGATGAGTGGTCTGGAGCTCAAGTCTTACAGGGAGCAGCTGAGCAAATTGGGATTATTTAGTCTGGAAGAGAGACATTATTGCTCTCTACAATGACCTGAAAGAAGGTTGTAGCAAGGTGAGGGTTAGCTTCTTCTTCCAGGTAACCAGTGATGAGAGGTAAAGGCTTCAACTTGCACCAGAGGAGGTTTAGGCTGGGTATTAGGAAAAATGTCTTCTCAGAAAGAGTGGTCAAGCAGAGGAATGGGCTGCCCAGGGAGGTGGTGGAGTCACTGTCTCTGGAGGCTTAAAAGCAACATGTAGATGTGGTATTTAGAGATATGATTTAGCAGGCAATATTGGTGGTAGGTTGATAGTTGGACTAGATGATCTTACAGATATTTTTCCAACCTTACTGATTCTGTGACTGATAAAAAGCATGGTTACTCGGAAAATGATGGCTGAACTCCTAAACTCTGGCCCTGTTGGAGTTACACTCAATGCATTATAAAGTCTGATTCTTTCAGTCTCAGCTTATAAAGTACAGATACCATTTTCAGCTTTTGTTTAAACTAACAATACTGAACTAAGCAAGAAATAGTTATGATACTCAAAATATTTTTTTCTCAATTACAGTTTTTATGTGGGTGTGATTCATGTTTGAAAGGAATAAGAAAAATGTTACAAATAGTCACAAGATGTAACACATGAGATTGTTTCAACTACTATCCAAAACACTAAGTGACAGGAAGCTGTATGGCTTCATATAGCTTAACTTTCAGTTCCTATTTTTAAGTGAAATAATTTCTAAGAAGCAGAAGGACTCTACTGGTTTTTTTGAACAAGTGTTCAAGGATAATGGTATTTGGCCTAACGTGTAAGAGAGAGGAAAACAAGTCTGACATTAGCTACTTTATAAATACACTGAAATGAACTACTGAATATTTGGAGATCCAGCAAATAAAGCACAAAGACCTAGCAAATAAACACTTTATTTATTTATTTATTTAATTTTGCCTATTACCAAAATTTTACAAAATAAAAGTAACAAATAAAAAAGGAAAGCCTAATTTGGCTGTTTAAATCCTGTTGTCTAAAATTAGTTTCTGTTGTGAAAAGAACACTGATTTCAACTATCAAAAAATCATGTTTTAAATAGATACTAAATAATATAAAATAAGTATTAACTTTATACATTACATATACTATATATACATGCAACGGTATTCTATAAAATAGTTGAATATGATCCCTAAAAATTGTAAACTTTGATTTTCATACAACAAGAAAACAGCAATCTTGGGTTCAGGCTACAGATTCAGCCTGAATGATGGTGTGGAATGTGTGCACCTTCTTACTGAGAGAGCATCAGTAAAAATCAACAAGCTATTTATTGAATTCTTACCTGCTAAACCAGGAATACGTTAATTTATTGAAGCAAGAAACATTTTCTTCAGGGCTGCATTTCTGTTATTAAAAAAAAAAGAGAAGAAAGAAAAGTGATAAAAAAGTGAAAAATTATTAATGTTACTTTGAAATACTAAATAATTTTTTTCCTCATTTTATTCTTTAATCCTTGTCAGGAGATATTTAATTGTTTTCAGGAGATATTTAATTGCAAGCTATAATACTTACACTTTTTTTCCCATGCAAGACACGATAAATGACAGATGTATAGACTTACTGTGCTGTGAGAGGATGATTAACCACCACCTTAGCTTGATTTTGTACTGTTTATGTACACTCTGGAGTACTACACCAACAGGAAAGCATGTCCAAGATGCACAATTCTGACAGGTAAAAGCCTGTGGATTCCACCCCCCACCCCCCTATTGAAAACCTATTGGAAGCGATCACCTGCTAATACCTGAATTGCTGCCCACCTCCTACCCCACTGTAGATGTACGGAAACATGTATGGGAGGAAAACACCTATGGGCTCTCCCTTCACTTCTTGAGAAAACCGTACGCCGGGTTCTTATGCTGGGACTTCAGCAGCCCCAGGGTGTGATTCCTGTTGCTAAAGAATTCAGCATCGCCTTAAAAAACCAGTCGCTAACAAGAGATGCAGTTACGATTCTATTCGGTAGGTGGTGTAAAAAAACCACCCATTAGATGCCGCTGGTGCTCTAACATACTGGTGTTTGTTTTTTTTTCCTCGTACTTTCAGTAGAGAAATAAATAAAATAAAATAAAATAAAATAAAATAAAATAAAATAAAATAAAATAAAATAAAATAAACCTCAAAACGATTAAATGGTAACCTAAGAAATAAGCACACAAGAAGAACGCGCTTGCCCCTGCTGTAAAAATCGCGCGTCCCGCCGCCCTGCACTACAGCTCCCCCGCGGCGGACCCACCCGCCCCGCCCAGCCCTCCAAGGCAACCTCACAACGCCTCCTTCTTCCCTCTCACCCCTTGCGGCTTTACCTTGCCGCCGGCGGGGCTCAGACGCTCGTACAAGCCGGCCATGGCTGCCACGGGCCGCCCGTGCGTTCTACGCGACCGAAGCGTGGGAGGGCGGTACGGTCTCCGCCTCTCTCGGCTCTCGCAGCCGGCCTGGTGGCGGCGCGCTCCCCGTCGCGGGGCCCGCAGCGCTGCGGCGACGCTCGACGTGCGATTTCTGCTTCTGTAAAGCAATCTGGTGTATTTTACTTGTGAAGGTTTTCCATTATTGTGTCAGCTTTTGAAATCAGTGGCCTACCGGTATAATGTCATCACTATCTTGCAGCAGATGTGAGATCGTACCTGCATAGCTTAATCCTAGGTACTGGTGGGGGAAAGAAAGATGAAGGGGCAGGTGTTGGTGTGGGAGGAAGCAAAAGTGGTTGGACACTTAACAAGTTTCTCAATACATGGCGGTATAAATCTAAAGCTAGAACTTCTAGATATAAGTTCCTTCTAGAAAGTTAAATTCAGTCGCTAGTGACATTTTAAGGGTGCTATAGCATGGTACTATAGCAGTAATCTCCTAGGAATCGTAGAATCCTGGAATGGCTTGAGTTGGAAGGGACCTCAAGGATCATCAAACTCCAACCCCCCTGCAACATGCAGGGCCGCCAACCTTCATATCTAATAGTAGACCGGGCTGCCCAGGGCCCTGTCCAACCTGGCCCTGAACACCTCCAGGGATGGGGCATCCACAACCTCTCTGGGCAGCCTGTTCCGGCACCTCACCACTGTCTTGGTAAAGAACCAACCTAAATCTTCCCTCCCTCAATTTGAAACCATTTCTCCCAGTCCTGCCATTATCTATCCTTGTAAAGAGTTGGGTCCGCTTCTGTTTGTAGGTTCCCTTTAGGTACTGAAAGGCTGCAGTGAGCTCTCTCTCCTCGTAGCCTTCTCTTCTTCAGGCTGAACAAGCCCAGCTTCCTCAGCCTGTCTTCATAAGGGAGGTGCTCCAGCCCTCTGAGCCCTCTGATCATCCTGGTGGCCATAAACTCAGTTATTTTTCATCCATTTGTTATAACTAATGACTGGAGTCTCAAATAAGCAAATAGAGCACTGGAGAGTAAGTTTATCGAAAGATCTACAGTGTATGCAGTTCTAGTCAGAGCATATCATAACCATAAAGTAGATCACTTTGAGAACTGATACAGTACGTAAGCCTTGTAGTTAGTGCAAATGCCTTTTTTTTTTTTTTAACCTTGCATTTACTACTAGAAAAGTTACAATAAGTGTACACAGTGATCCTAATGGAACATAAGATTAGAGATAGATCAGTAAAGAGGAAAAGTTGTAGGTATTGATACTTCAGTGATGAACAAAACTCTAATACAGCGCTTAGAATTTCTAGTCTGTTCTTCAGCAGCTCCAGAGAATCCTTAAAGCAGTCACAATAGTAAGTTCCACAAGTCATAGAAGTGATACATATGCTTTATGAGTGGCTCAAAGTATATATTTGCACAGTGTCTAAATTAGCAAAATAACAGACTTTTGTAATTCCTGGAAAACAGAAGCATAATTACTGACGTTTTCCTTCCATAGGAAAACTGTATCTTTTTAAATATTTCCTATACCTTAAAATACTTTCTTCTTTTACTTGGTTGAGGTTAAATAAAATATCAGTATAATTTATGCATAATGTATTTCAAAATTAATATGAGTCTTGTACATTCCTTTTGTAATAAAGTGCAACAATTAGTGAATTTCTTTCAAATAAAAATAGAAAATATGAGTAAAAATAATCCAGTATTACAGTATTAATGCCTTTTCTTCTTGGCTTTGCACTTATTGTATTTTTGGTCATGATCTCTTTGTCTCATTCTGTCATCTTCAGTACTAGTGTCGCTATCACAACCTTGCTGTTCTCTCTTTCTTTTAGACGTGCTTTCATCCGTCTGGTACACTTTTCCATCACTTGAATGTGGCACGGCCAACTCAAAAGAACTATGCCCAGACTTAAAATTTGCAGCTTGATTCTGATAGGGAGGAATGGATAAGCTTGAAGGCAGTGGCAGAGTCATCTGGTAGTAAGGAAATTGCTGACCCACTGGACTGTGAACTGTGTACTGCTGTTCTAAAAAATGGTTCATCTAGAGAAATACAAACTTGAGTTGTTAGTACCATTAAGAGAAACTTTTGAAGAGTTTTATTTCGCATGCATTACAGCTTTTACCCTGAAAATACCGATAGCAAAGTTGTATAAAATAGCAAGGTTTAAAAATAAAGCTTATTATTTTATTACATCACCTACTAGAGTAAGAAAAGGTAGACAATCTTTCATGGAACACATATGTAATCTGATTTAAGTTTAAACTTCTTGCTAAGAATTTGTGAATGGTAATCAAACATAGCATTCCTATCATTTCTTTTATGTATTTTTATAAACATTTCTAACTACAGTGACTACTGTTAATATAAAGACATGCACAGCTGCATTTTTTTTTTTTTTCAGTTGGGTTTAACTAATTTTGAAGTTACTTGGAACAAGTTCCAACAAGCTACACGGAATCAAAGCACTTAGAACACTGCAGTAAGTGCCCAGCTTCTTCCTGCATTTCCTCAAGTTCCACAAGTCTCTCTCATATATAAGGGCTGCTCCGAAAGTAATGCTTCCTAATTTATTATGTTGGCCCACAACATCAGAGGTGGATGTTGGTGGTATGGCAGTAGAGAACCTTCCAATCAGTATTCTGTTACACTTCGGTGCCATGTGACAGATGGCAACAGAGAGGCAGTCTGACAAAATGGCACTCAACACGGCAGTGTGTGTAAAGCAAAGGTGTGTCATTGAATTCCTCTATGCAGAAAAAAACCAGCACCCACTGACATCCACTGATGCTTGCTGAGTGTTCATAGAGATCAAACAGTGGATGTGAGCACAGTGAGGAGGTGGGTGGTGTTTCATCAGTGGTCACAGTAGGTCACCTCCACTGGTAAAGATTTTTACAAGTGCAGCATGCAGGCTCTAGTTCATCGCTGACAAAAATGCATAGGTAATATTGGTGACCATGTTTTGTAGCTGAGAATTAGCTCTATCAAATAGTGCTGTTGTGCTCTTTGTATTTGTTATAGTTTCTATGGAAACAAATAGGAGTTTTACTTACTGAGCAACGTGCGTAAAATGCACTGTCCAAATACAGGAATACAGTTACAAAAGTAATGGGGAAACAGCAGCTTTCTACTGACTGGCAGTAGCCAGAAAAGGTGTGAGAAGCACTGAGTTATGTCCTTGTGTTCAAAAGAAAGCCTCTGAAGTAATATATATGGATAACCAACATAAAGGTTATCTAAACATGTGAAGGCATATGTGTGAACAGCTTCCTGCTGAAACTGAAACAAGCAATCTCTGCTCCTGCTGCAGGACTGTCTTTTCTAGCAAGCAGAAAATGGAATGGAGTTAGTGCTGCGTGCAGGTGTGCTAACTTCTAAGAATTTGGTCTCAGTATTTGCATACTGCATTGTTACTATAAAACGGGTTTGACAGTGAGCAAGTGAGGGACATGGTACCCTCAAAAAGGATCCAAACACAGTGGAAGGTTTGTGCAAGCACCAGATCTTCTGGGGGCAGAGCCTGGGAAGAGAGGAGGCAGGTCACCACTAGATATGTGTGTTTTCCTGCCCAGACTGCAGCTCGTAGGAGCAATCTATTCAGATTTCACTCATTCTACAGCTACAAAGGGCTGGACTATTCCCCACTCAGACTGTGTGGTAGCAGGACTGTCCGCAGTCAGTATTTCATGTTAAATATTTGGTTTCCTTCATCCTACCCATTCACACTCATTAGACTCAGAAGTTCCCCAACATGTTTGATGAGTAGGGTTTTACCCGTAAGATGACTTGCCATATGCAGTATCTCAAAGAGATTAGGACAAGAAAATACACCAGTCTCACAGAAGGGAATATGGGTTCTCATCGTTTTACTGCAATGAGTATAAAGAATCAGTGCGAGAACTACATAGACAAGCAGCATTTCAGGCTGGAAAGTCAAATTGCTGTTGCCATAACTTGTTTCTTATATTGGCAGTAGTGGTTTGTTGGGGAAGCATTATGTTTGATTGTAGGACAGAACTAAATTTCAAATTTCTGCTAGGCATATTTGAAGTGAGTAGAAGAGCTAAGAGGCTCCCTTACTGAAACAGCTGTATATGAAGAAGTTATTGCTTGCATGGCTGTAATTTTACTGTTACCTTATCTCACTAAGGGGATTTGATTTGAAACACAGTAGAGTTTCTACTGTCAAATGACTTTTTTTAGCCTCCCTAACTTATACCTTTAGTACATTCCTGCAGAAAGAAAATAGTCTGGTTTGACAGACACCTGAAGTGATAGATAGACCTAACAGAGTGAAATTTAGCAGCCTAAGCCAAGTTTTGAGTCACCAATAAGCACTTGTTTGCAAGAATACCTTCAACTTCATTAGTAAGTTAACGTATTTTTAACTTTTATCACAAACTCACCATCTTCTGAAAGACAGAGTATTCCTGAGGTAAACAATTGTTCATTGGAAAAGGAGTAACAGGAAATGGAGGATTTCCATAAGGCTCTTGATACCTAGGAAAAACAGGAAAATATACAAAGACTAGGCTTCTAACAAATACTACCTTGTAGAGTGCTGATGCTCAGCTCTTGGGCTATAATGAGTGTATTCAAGAGAATAATACAGATATTAACAACTGGACTTCCACAAACAAACAAACCAAGAAAAACAATTCCGAAGACTCAACAAGTAAGCCTGAGTCTACATGTACTGCAGACTCAAAAGAGTTCTGGATTTCTCCACAGGAGTTTAGCTTCCACAGAGAGTTCTGGCATACTTGCAAAAAATAAAAATAAAAATTGAATTTGAGATGCTGAAACATTGAAACTGGGATGTTCAGAGTTCTGTTATAACAGTGTGTACAGGTTCTACCTGTACACTCACGTGTGCATGACATTTGCTTGTATACATTGACGCAGCAAGTAAACTCAATGGAGTAGAAAATGATTATCTCAATTGCCAGATTTTCTTTTCCTCTAAGAACTGCAAAGATTCCTAATACAAACACCATACTTATAATGTTTTTTCACATTCCTGTATCTTGCAAAAATAAATAGGATTTGGAATTTAACTAACTGAACCTCTAGCAAGCTAAATAACCAAACATTAACTAAAGTCCACTGCAAGTCATCAGTACGGATGCAATTAAAGTGTGAAACTGCTGAGTTAATGAAGAGCTAAAGATTGCTTTACTGTATCTACACATCCTTTTTAACATTTTTTAATTATAATCATACAATTTATTCACAGGAGGTCTTTGTTACCTATATGAAGATGAATATAAGTCAACATAGTTCTCAAAACCATGTGTTGGGCTGTTTAGTTCTGAAGAGTGTGAACTCCCTGTAAATAAGACAAGACTGTAATGACTGTTCAGTTTTGACTGTTTGGTTAAAAAGTTAAAACACAGAAAGTATTCTGTCACCTGTACTGTACTAGTATATCAAGGCTGACATATAATGGAAAGGTGTCATTTTATGGCAGACAATCTATACCATCAATGAACTGCTTCAAAATGTTTCTTTATCATTTATACTCAGCCACTTACAGAAACATAAATCAGGACTGTTCAATAATCATGAACAGAATCGTTCCCACTGCTTCTGATTTCAGGAACCTCAGCCATTTTACTTAAAGAATTGCCCTGTACAGCCTTCTAGGTAAGGAGTGACACAGTGCAGATCAGGAACAAGTCAGTGTTTGGACTGCAAATATTGCCTAATCATTAGCATTCCAGAAGGTTTGTTTTCATAAACATAAAATGAAGAATAAGACTTTGATTTGACTGTATTTTCCTAACTATACTCTCTTCCAATTAAAATAAAACTGATAGCTTCATGGCTTTAGTATAAAAGCTTTCAAACAGCTTGATAGTTGCTGCTCTTAACCGAGTCAAAACTGCAAGTGAAAGTCACACCCTTTTAAAGGACTGTAGGATTAAAAACTAGTAATTTTAGAACAACATACTTCAAAAAAAGACTTTTGAAAAAGACGTAAGTAATCACTGTGACTGCTAAACCTACCAAACCGATACCGTACTTTAATTGGTCTTCCATACAAACGGATTCCATTCAGCAACGCTATTGCATAAGGCACTGATTCTTTGTGCTTAAAGCAGACAAATCCAAAAGACTTAGGTTTTCCTTCCTTGTCTTTACAAATCGTCACTTTGGTTAATGGTCCGGCCTGAAAGAAATCTGCGTCATTTTCTCATAGAACTTACACTTAAAAAAATAAATAAAAAAATCACAATCATTTCATGATTATATATACTGCCATAGTCTGAAACAGTGTTTCTCAAGTATAAGATTCTTTATTTCATTTTAAAAATCTCTCAAATTCTGAGCATTTATAAAACAAAAAGCAGCCCTACAGATATTAAAATTGGAACCAACCATCAGTCCATGGGTGATGATTCTATTTTAATAATCTGATTATTTTTATTATTTTTAAAATATATTTATGACAGCTGCAAGAAGGAGTATTAGGCTCCTTTGTCTCCGTAACAAAGGTCAACTCATGCATGTACAGTTTCTAGTATAACCATTACATAATTTTTTGCACAGCTAACACAACTGTACAACGAAAGTGTAAAACCAAAGTAATCCATTAGTCTGATTCTAGGAATTTAAGGAATATAGAAGTGGGAAGCATCAAAGCTGTTGGAAAGCAAGCTTAAATAGAGAATAGTTCTTCTGGAACCACAACAAACTCTAATATTTTCTATACTACCTAGTCCTATCACAAATGCATGACAAGGAATCAAGAGAATCTGTCATCATCTAACCAGAGATAGTGTACTGTTACTGACCAAGAAAAACAAACAAAAACACAACATAAACCAGGGAACAGAACCACTCCCTCTTCCCCCTTAAGAATGCTCTGTTTGGACTCAATGACCCTCACGTGTCCCTTCCAGCTCAGGATATACCATGACATATCTTCATTGAAAAGAAGTCCCATCTCTGCCTACATGCACCATTACAATCCTTGCCCAATACTTCTAGAAGAACCAAATTAAAGCAGTGATATTACATAAATACTGTCTCCATTTTCAAATAAATTTTCATAGCAAATACCAACATCGTTCAGATACAGTAACAAAATTTCTGAATGTCTAAATTACCATCATAGATGGAGAATTCATTGTCCTGAATCAAAAACTCAGCATTGGTAACAGCAGTAGTGCTCTCTGTGAACTCAAAAGTAAACTACAGCTTTAGGCAAACACACGTTAACTAAATGGTGATGATTTGGAGCCATCTTCCTTGACTCTAGCACTGTGATGTCAGATTGAGGATATGAAGGACTGTCGTCTGTGGTAACGTTTGATTGCTGTATGCTTTTGCCATCTGAGTATAAACAACACCTCACTTAAATGTAATGCTCTCGCTGAAACATGAGAAACATTTCCTCCTCTCACCTCAACCTTGATGAAAGCAAGAGAGCCATACAGACAAAGGATCATAAATAATATATCATTTTTATTATTGGTGCAGAAAGAGGATCAGGCTATATAGCAACGGATACTACCTAGGTTGACTTGCGCAGAGAATCTTCAATACGTTGATTTCGTCTTTCCAAGTATCTTCAAATTTGATGTGTTTGTTTTTTTGCTTTGTTTGTTTGTTTTTTAAGAGGGGATTTCAGTGACATTCTGAACACGGTTGGTTTTACTTGAGTTGGTTCTAAGGCATTTTTCTGTTGTTCTGCACTACACTGCAGTTTTTCTAAAAATGGCATATATCCAGTCTTCATATTATTTGCCTAATGAGGAGGTCTGGATCTTCAAGAACTAGAAGTAACAGCTCTAGAAGTAACAGGCTCAAACACTTTGAAGATCAGTCTTAAAAATGTAGTCTTCCTGTTCATAAACAAAAAATATTAATAGTTTAGAAGTACTAATAATAGATATGTTATCCTAATTTCATGAGGGAACACTACAGCTCAGGAGTATGTTTTAAGGGCTGAACTACATCAAGAATATAATCTGTGTACTTTCCAAGAAAGAACAATACTTCAAGGAGAAGCATGTGCTATTGCAGCAAAAGCAGAGAAACTTGAGTGAGAACATGAAGAAAAGAAAAAAGTTAAGTAGGTGTTATTGGCATGATCTAAAGATCCAGATAAAAATTAACAGTTCGGTGAGTGAAGCAGATTACACAGAAGATTTGTATAAAACTGCATTCTGAGGACATCTGTTTATTTTCATTGCTTTTGTGCCAGGATTTGTATGGTAAATTACTCACGTCTCCTGGTAAGATGAGCATTTTTAACCTAGCTTTTACAGCTAAATGACAGAATACTGCTTACTGTTGGAAACAGGGATACTGCACAGAAAATCATAGAATGGCCAGGGTTGAAAAGGACCACAATGATCACGGAGTTTCAAACCCCTGCTGTATGCAGAGTTGCCAACCACTAGACCAGGCTGCCCAGAGCCACATCCAGCCTAGCCTTGAATGCCTCCAGGGATGGGGCATCCATGACTATCTCTTACATAATTTTAGGGAAAAGCTACAAACTTAAAGTTACTAAGAGACTGAAGAAGCTAAAAGGCTACAGGGCTGGAATATACCAAGAAAAAAGGCTTTCCAATGCAAATGGAGTAGTGTGCTGATACCTCGCCTACTTAAGATGATGAATATCACATTAATCGATGGAATAAAAATGGTGAGTTAAAATTGTTCTGATTAGTAAATTAAATAGCAATGGAGCCAATTAGTCTGACGCCTTCTTTTTTTGTGCTCTTTATTTTGCAAACACACCAGAAGGCAGCAAAGTTCTTTCTGCAACTGGGAATAATCAGTGTTAGCAGAAGCAAGTGTATCATCACACTGCTGGCAGAACTGCCCAGTGTAAGCTAGATACAGACTGACTGTTTCAGGCAAGCAGAAATGCTTTACCATCATCCATTGCTGTCAATCCATCCCGCAGTTTGACACAGTGCTCCGTTCCACACATACCTGCTTTTCCTTACCACTTTCAGATTAACAAGCCTGGCTTAGCCAAACATTTTGTTAATAGCAAATCAAAACTGAAGCCAAGCCGGTGTGTTAAAATAGACCGCCCCTAAGGCAAGTCTTTCGGGTTTTGGGAGAGAAGAGAGAACAGTTTGGATCCCACCAGCAGAATATCGTCTCAAGCATTAAAATACATTTTGTTATAAAGATTATAACAGTGAAAGTCCCACATCCAACCTGAAAACCATTTTTATCGCCCGTCCCAATCTATTAACACTTGTAACCTTCTCGCAGATGGGTGACAGAGGGGCAGCTCAACCCAGCAGTGCACCGAGCCCTCAAAGCCACAGAAGCTGCCGTGAACGTCACGAGCAGAAGACGCCATAGAACTGCATTTGGTTTGGGTTGGAAGGGACCTTAAAGCCCACCCAGCCCAGCCCCTGCTGTGGGCAGGGCTGCCCCCCACCAGCTCAGCTGCCCAGGGCCCCATCCAACCTGGCCTTGAGTGTCTCCAGTGATGAGGCACCACAGCTTCTCTGGGCAGCTCTGCCAGCGCCTCACCGCCCTCTGAGTGAAGAATTTCCTCCTAACAGCTAATCTAACTCTCGGTTTTCAGGAGCTGCAGGGCACGCCGGACTACAGCACGGCCGGCTCCCATCGGGGCTGGGCGCTGTCAGGCGGCGGGCAGCAGTGCCAATGCCAGCCGGCGCTGCCCTGCCCTGCCCGCTGCCCAGCCCGAGACCGTTGCCCTGCGGTACCTCCAGGCCACTGCCCCGCCCCGCCCCAACGGCCCGCCCGCCACCTGCAGGAAGAGTTCGTAGAGTATCTCCTCCCGCACGCGGCTCTCCAGGTTCCCCACGAACAGCGTCCGGTCCGCCTCCCCCGCCCGCCCCGGCCCCGACATGGCACAGCAGCCGCCGCCGCCGGGCGCCGCCTAGGGCGGAACGGGGGAACGGGCCCCGCTGCCGTAAAGGGCTGCACGACAGCTAGTCGCTAGGCAACGGAATCAGCGCCCTGAAGAAATAGAGCTAAAAAGCTCCTCCTGACCTCTTGTGGGGTCGGTGGGTACTGCAGATGCTGAGTCGGGACTGAGGGGCAAATGCTCCGAAACCCCTTAAATCCCTCAAGTATCTGGTCATCAACACGAAAGAGCGCTCTGACAGATACTAACAAAACATGATTGCTACCTTTGATGTTAGGCTTGCACTCTAACCCACTGTCACCTAGAATCATAGAATCATCTGAGTTGGAAGGGATCTTTTAAGGTCACCTAGTCCAACTCCCCTGCATCGAACAGGCAGATCAGTATGCTCAGAGCACCTCCAGCCTGACCTTGGACGTCTCCACAGATGGGACATCCACCACCTCTCGGGGCAACCTGCTCCAGTGTCTTACCATCCATAATGTATAAAACTTGACTTCCTTACATCCAGTCTAAATATTCCTTGTTTCAGTTTGAAACCATTTCCCCATGTCTTATCATATCTTATTCCTGCCAAAGAGATTGTCCCATTCTTTCTTACAGTCCCCCTCTACATACAGAAACGCCTCTCTCAGATCTCCCCAGAGCCTTCTCTTTCCCAGGCTGAACAGCCCCAGTTCTCTCAGCCTGTCCTCACAGGAAAGGCTCCATCCCTCAGAACCATCCTTTTTGTGGTCCTCCTCCAGACACCCTCCAACAGATCTACGTCTCTCCTGTTCTCAGAACTCCACATCTGCCCACAGCACTCCAGGTGGGACCCCACCAGCGCAGAGCAGAGGTGCAGGATCACTTCCTTCAACCTTCTGGCCTTGTTTCTTTTCATGCAGCCCAGGATACAGTTGGCTTTCTGGTCTGTGAGGGCACATTGCTGGCTCATGTCCATCTTGCCATCTACCAGTACTCCCAGTTCCTTACCTGATTGCTACAATCAGCTTTCAAGCATGCATATATATAGCAATATAGCATTCAGTACAAATTTTTAAAGGTGTTTTTTTTTTTTTTTTTTTATATTCCTTTTTTTTTTTTTTTTTTTTCCAAAGGAGTACATTTCCAGAGGTCATCTTGATGACAGAAGCATAAGAAATCTTTTCAGTGAGTTTATTCTTTTCTCAAGTTTTGACTGTGTGCTTTGCCTCAATACCATTAATTTCTCACAAAGATTCTGTTACTAGTAACAAAACCACATGTTTTCCTTCTATCTGTTTAGAAAGGGATTATCCATTTACAGGTATTATAAGCCTTAGTGTAGAACCAGTAATAAAATTTAAATTTCTTCCAGACAGTCTATTTATTTTTCCATTTGTAATCTTTAGAGGGCTTTTTAAAAAACAAATTTGATTTCATCTTGCCTGGAAGGAAGTAGCACTCAAAAGCTTGTGGGCAAAGGAGGGTCGGTATTTGTTCCGGAGAAGTGCCATGGTTCACAAGAGAAGTCATAATTCTTGTAAGAACACTTTTCAAGATTAGGACATTCTTAAGTAGAAGGGGAAATACACGTGACTGCAGATCAGGATGTTACAATTTGCGTGATAATTTGATCTTAATTTTGAAAGCCAGGCCAGGATTCTTAGTACTTTTGGCTGTTATTTTATCAGCATGTTGGGGGGAGGGAACTGAAGTCTAAGTGCTATTTTCTTATCTGTAAATCTAACAGTCTTTCACTGCAATAAAATTAAGCTTCTAGGTATTTTTTAACTTGAATACTTGGCAAGTCTTTTGTGTTTTTGTAATAGCTGATGCACTCCCAAATGCAACCACAGTTCATTCAGGAGGGACTACCTTTACATTTCTGAGCTCTTGGGACACAAGCAGAGTACTTATGAGACAGTACAGTGATCCTCAAGTGATTTGCACAAGCCACTTCAGAAGCAGATAACCATGAATTCTAATGCAAGAAGAATGTAACCCAAGAAAAGCATCGTACAGAATATGCAGTGAAGAGGCATGAGTAAAACCTGAACTTCAAGGCTCTCACATCTGCTTGTGAACTTGTTATATGACGCTCACTGTTCTTTTGGGGTATTTATGATAGTGGGATGCCAGTGGAAGCCACTCTGTAAACAGTAGTTCAGATTTATGAATTTCCAAGTGGAGTGTCCCTGTTGGTGAACAAAATTCCCCTTTCATGTGACAGTGGTCTGTCCCACAAGTGCTAGTTCAACAAGCTGATTAATATTACAACATTTTCTGAGCATTCATTTGGTATTGAAAATGTTTTCAGATCTTGATTTCTGAGGACTTTAAAAATTTAATTTCTTATTCATGAGTTGCTAAATTAATGTATAGATTCTATCTATATAGGCAAAGAACATACATGTTAAGTACTGGGCATATTGATTTTTACCTTAGAAGGATCTTAATTTTTTTTTTTACTCTGTTCTTATGTTAAAGAGCAAAATATAGATATAAGAGCAATGGCATTAGGTATATGTAAAGGTGCATGTATAAGATTTTCTTCTAAGATCAGTGACAGGTTGTTGCATAAATACAGCAAATCATAGAATCATAGAACAGCTTAAGTTGAAGGGGACTTTAAAGATCATTGAGTTCCAACCCCTGTGCTTTGAGCAGGGTTGTCAACCAATAGATCAGGCTTGCCCATGATTCCATCCATCCTGGCCTTGAATGCCTCCAGAGATGGGGCATCCACAGTCCCCCTGGGCAGCCTGTGCCAGTGCCTCACCACTCTCAGAGTAAAGAATTTTTTCCCAACATCTAACCTAAATTTCCCCTCTTTTATTTTAAAGCCATTCTTCCCTGTCCTATCCCTATCAGGCTACGTAGAAACAGTTCTCTTCCTGCTTGTAAGTTCTATTTTAGTACTGGAAGGTGGCAATGAAGTCTCCCTAGAGCCTTGTTTTGGCCAATCTAAGTGAGCCTAACTCCTTCAATCTTTGTTCGTAGGAGTGGTACTCCAGCCTTTTGATCATCTTCATGGCCCTGTTCTGGACCAACAGCTCCAACAGCTCTGCATCCTAGTACTGGGGGCCCCAGACCTGGATGCAGTATTCCTGGTGAGGCCTTACAAGGGCAGAGTAGAGAGGGAAAATCACCTCCCAGCTGTGCTGACCACCCCTCTTTTGATATTTTCCTAGAGCTCATTACTGGTTCCAGTTAAGTGTTTTCAGCAGTGTTCATATGGAGGCTGCCTAACTGTTGTTTGCTTGTGTTCACTGAGATTTTCTTGTAACATTCATCTATATTGCACCCTGTGGTGCATTAGGCTGTGAATCACTAGCCATTTGAGGTAAGCGACTGTCCCACTCTGCACTGTGTTGGTGGAGGTTGAACCAACCTCCACCAGGAAAAGGTTCTTAACAGAGAGGATAGTTTGGCAGTATAGCAGTCTCCCCAGAGCTGCAGTCATGGCACCAAACTTGCTGGTGTTCAAGAAGTGTTTTGGGGGAGCTTATAAACAGAAGGGAGACTAACTTTTTACACCGGCAAATAGGATAGGGGACAAAGGGTAATAGTTTTAAACTAAGAGGGGAGATTAAAATTAGATATTAGGAGGAATTTTTTTTTTTTTTTTTACTCAGAAAGTGGTATGGCACTGGAACAGGTTGTCCAGAGAAGCTGTGGATGTCCCATCCTTGGAGGTGTTCAAGACCAGGTTGGATGTGGTTCTGGGCACCTGGGCACCAGCTTGAGCTGGTGGGTGACAACTCTGCCCACAACAGCGGAGTTGGAACTAGATGATCTTTAAGGTCTCTCCCAACCTATACCATTCTATAATTCTATGATTCTTTTAGTTGAAATTGATAATCCTTGTAGGTCCTTTCCAACTCAGAATAGTCTATGATTTTATGATTCTCTGATTATTTTCGAGTTCTTATAGAATATTTCTTCTGTCACCCCAATGACTTTTTGTGGCAAGTTTCTTTTATCCAGCTCAGTATTCCTAATTACAAGTGAGTGACACACTTGAAAAAAGCAGACATGGTGAGCATCTAATGTGATGTACACCTAGTCACTCTACTTCCTAAGCTCTGTGGGTGTAATGGAGTTGTCAGTAATATGTAACGTCAATTGCTTACGTGTCAACCTGGTGATAACCAAATAGAGGGGGAAATAGATTAAAAAAATAGTCCCAACTCTGAATGCCCAGAAACCACCTTACCTTCTGAAGTCATTCAATAGGAGGAGTCATGAATTGCAGAAGTTTGAATACAGTTTTACTTTCTGCTTCCTAATCTACATGTCACCTTCATCAGTAGCATTCAGTTAAGTTAAAAATCTAGCATGCTATAAGGAAGCACTTAACTTGTCACTCATTTCAGAATGTTACATAGTACTTTTCTCCGTTTCTGCATGTTAAAATTGTGTTTCTTCATCTGTTTGGTGTACTGGGTGGAATCAGGTAAGAACTATTATCTTATTGTCTGTGATATGGACTCATGGCTTTATTAAGGTATTGAAAACTAATATTTCTTTATTTAAGTTGGCCAAAAGACTAAATCCTGTGTACTGTGCCTAATGAAGCAGAGGGCTGGTAAAGAGAATTTGATCACTTTGAAACTGAGCCAAAGGTTCTCATTTTAAAGTAAATAGAACAAAGTCTGATACTTTATCTCTTGCTGTACTTTGTACAGGGACACACTCAGGTATTTGCACCTTGTATGGAGGTAATTCTAAACTAGTTCTAGCATATTAAAGTAAGTTTGCCAATTTATTGGCAATTCGCTATGTTGACAGCTTTTCAAGTTAAGTGTTATATTTTAAATAGTAAAATTTAATTATGGAAATGCACTGTAAACTTAAGACACTTATCATGGCTACAAACAGACATAGGAAAGTTGAAATTGTATTCTACCTGAATTAAACTACATATTTAACTGCCCAACCCCTGTTTGTATTTTCTCACTGTACAGAAAAATGTATTTGAGTACTCCCATGAATGTGCACAAAGGGCAGCTGGGTACTGCTTCCAGGTGTCAAAGACAAAGAGACATTTGAAAAACGTCCCCTTAATGATTCATTACTAAACAATTTAAAACAGTAAATTGGCACATTTATGTATTACCTAATTCACAATAATCTTTTTATTCTCTGCTCGTGTTTCACACAACGATTCTGCTCCCAGTTCTCAGCCTTAAGTAAATGAGTTTTATTCTGTTTGATGTTTCTCAGTAAGTAAATAGGTTTCATCAGTTAAAATGCATCCCTTGTGATAGTTTTTTCCTTTACATGAACCAGAGTGCATCTCTGTTGTATGTCATTGTCATTTGATTGATTTAGAAAAAATGAACTATTATTTCTGCCAACCAAATAATGCAATAAGAAATCAAAACATTTAGAGTGATATAAAAGAACTCATCAACTTTTACAATATCTTATTAGAATTCTTTTCTATGTTAGAAATGTAGGAGTGACATTGCAAGGATAAGGGACTGAACTTGGATTTAAGAATATTAGGAAAAGAATGAAATAATTTCATGCTATACCTATGAATCTGAATAGTAAAATTGTAACAAAGTGCCTGTTCTTTTATTATGTAGTTTGTATTTGATGCTTGTGTGTTTGAATTTCTAGTTTTGTCATAACATATTATTGTAAGAAAACTAGATATTAAGTGTGAAATGTTCTTTTACCATTTCAGAATCATATCAGTTGTATGACAGTTTGCCAGGTTCCTGAATACCACCTTCACTGAATTCAAGGGAGCTGAACAGCTCTTGATTTCAGAATTTTTCTTGGATAAATTTCCACAGTGAATTTGAGTTGCCTTCCTGTATCAGTAGTTAGTTAATAACCACTCCAGTAATCACAATAAAAGTTATTTAAATTATTCAATGTTTAAATTAAGAGAACTGTGATATTAGCTTTGAAATATGGGCAATTTTAACATTTTTCAGACACTATTTTTACAGGTATTGTCATTTATTATAAGGTAAAGGTGGGCATGAAACTTTTGTCTTGTCAGTGTGAGACAGAAAGTTTCAGGCCATTTCTAAAATGCTGCAACT